ACTCTTTAAGAAGAAGGCTTACTCCCCCACCAGATAGGCCATGTTAAAGCCACAACTGCTGTTAGATATCAACCAGCGGTTTTGAAAGCATAAAGCCTGGAACACTTTACTCAAACACTTTATAATTTGATGGTAGAGAGGTAAAACAGATAACCCAGATGCTAGGGTATGAGGGGCCTAGAGAACACTGCACACGCCCCCACCCCTCCACCCCGCCTTCCCAACTTCCACTTTTCTCCTTTCCCTAGGGCTGGTCTGTGGGGTGAGAATTGTGGGGGATATGGAAGCCCCTTAAAAACATCACTCTGATCCAATCTCCTCTTTATAAAGATAGGAGAAAACGAGACAAGATAGAGGCAGTGAAATGTTTAATGTCACACGTTGCCTGATTAAAATAGTTCAGCTGACTCACTCATAAAATAATCACAGTTTTCTAATGAGAGGATCAAAAGTATGTTGGGAAAATACTAAAGAAAGTAACAATAAAAAAAATGACTAGGAGAAGCGAGGCCCCAATTTTGAGATTAAAATGCTATCACCCAAACCTATTCTTCCTATACCAAAGGAAACTTTACAGCATAGATACAGTTTAGGAAACAGGATTTTTTTTTTTTCTTCAATTTGGACTTTTTTTTTTTTAATTGGAAAAGTTTTTGGAAAAGTTTCGAACATAACGAGAAGTATAGGGAACAATATAAAAAACTACTATGGACACATTTTTGTTATTTTCTTGTCTTCTTTGCCTCTGATATATAGATATACACATACACATAGAAGTATAGTGTGTGTGTGTGTGTGTGTGTGTGTGTGTGTGTATGTGTGTATAAATGAAGTCCCCTCTGTATTTCTTTTCAGCCCAATTCCTCTCTCCCCTTCCCAGAAGCAAAGAAACTCATGAATTTAGTCTGTACTTTGATAGTATAATAAGTATATTTGTTTGTTTGCTTGTTTTACCCATATAATTTTTATTATCAAAATATCAATTAAACTTAAGCAAATTTTAACATAGTTGTTAATATGCCTGCCTTAAGATAATAAAAAGATTTAATTGCTGACAGAGGCAACTTTAGCAACTTCAAATCTTTGAACTACATTTCCCAAAATAAAGATGCTTTGGATTTCTTAAAATAACTATTATAAACACTACTACAGTTTTTTATTTTATTCTTTGGATCCTATGCAGAGCCTGACTGTCTCAAACTTATCATTCATCTTCTCAAGTTTGGGTTATTTGGTTAACTGATATAAAAGATAGAGAAGGCTGTAAAGTCAGAGCCGAAGAAAGCAGGTGTGACAGCAGAGGTGACAACTGCTGTCTGATATTGAAGGAAACAAAAAAGACACAGAAATGGTTATCTGCATACATGGTATTGAATAGAGAAAATGTTAAACTACATTAGATAGGCAGAGATATAATTTAGAAAGATTTACATCAAAAATAATTGAGATTTATAAAAATTTCTAATGCTTTGGGGCTCTGGTAGTCCCAAAGTCACGTTTTGTATGCTGGCTCTATCGTTCACTATTATAGTTGGATGACTTAATCCCTCTGTTCCTCCTGGTAAAATGGGACTAGTAATAGTATCTGCTGCACAGATATGTTGTGAAAATGAAATGAGAGAATCCATGTAAGACATGAGGAACAGAGCCTGGCACAGAGTAAACACTTCGTACATGTTAGCTGCTTGTAGTAGCAACAGCAACAGTAGTAACAGCAGCAGTGGTAGTAATTTTGAGAAACTGGCACAGGTGGAAGAGTTCATAACCTGGTATGTGAAGAGAGCACAAACTCTGGAGCCTCACTCTTTCAGCTGGATGCTTTGAACTCCCTTACCATCTGAGTAGGCCTGGGGACAATGACATCACAGAGGTTCTGTGGCTGCTATGAGGGTTCGGTGGGGATGGAAGGTGCTGAGTGCCATGCACATGGACAAGCTCAATCAACATTAGCAGTTACAAATATTTCAGATAAATAATGCCTTACATCCTACTCTTGAAGTGCAGCATCAAGCTCACAGTTTCCTCACACTAAGAAGTGACGGGAAGCTAGAGGAAGGATCTAATTGCACTTATTAGTTTATCTAGGAACAGTGTGCCTAGGTTCAGAAAGACTATGCAATCATTGTAAATACAGCCCTATCTAGGCACAGCTCTGCAGGAATAAAAGGAGACCCAAAAGGTGGGCTCTTCTTCCTTGAAAAGGGTGGCTAAGTTTCCTCTGAAAGTCTTACTAAGATCATCAAGAAAGGGAGGCCTAGAAGATACTCTTAAAAATGGACCAATGATTTATGATAAGTGCACATAGCTCCAAAGCACTTTCACACACAATAACTTATCTGGTCCTTGCAGCGACCCTATGTGAAAGGAGGCCCTATCCCTATTTGTCAGGGGAGGAAAGTGAGGTACAGAGAGTTACAGTGACTTGCTCAAGTTACTGTATTACAACAAGGAGAATCCACTGCATTCTTGTTTCAAGTTCAGGGCTTTTATTACCCATGCACGGCCTTGCGGAATGTTACTCCCTGGCATGCACTTGCCATACGTGGGGCCTATTTCATTTTTCCAATTTTCCTGTTACCTTAGTTGTTACGGTCAGCTTAACCCTAAATCCCATACCCTTACTACATCATATATGCAGTATGCGTGTGTACACATGCACATGCATGTGCTCTTATATGCAGGCACACATGTAAGCACATGCTGGGAGACAACTGCATTTATTTTTCACATTTTAATTCTTTTTACGTGTACTTTTAAAAGATGAATATCTTTGAAGATTGATGTGATTCAGCGAATTTTGAGGATGCTAAATCATTTGTTTGGACAGAAGCCTGAGCTGTAATTCAGTCCCAACAGAGGACAAAAAAAGGTTTTTCACTTTAAATGAGCCATGATTTTTTTCTGAAAACGTGATCTAATTTCTTTTATAAAGGAAGTGTGAAAGAACTTTTGTTGCCATCTCCAGCTGTCAAGCGGCCTCCCATACTTTTGCCCTGCAGCAAAAGGAAGGGACATCAGGTGACAGATCCCAAATTTCAACTAGTCACACAAATTACAGACCTTCCTATCATGGTGTCCTCTTGACCTTCTGCCTTTCCCCTACAATGAAGAATGAGACACAGTTTAAATCAAAAGGACTCTCATGGGCAATTTTACAAAACAAATAGAAGGCTCCCCCCTACCCCTCCTCCCCCTCCCCCCTCACCCCCTTCCCCCGCTGGGCCAGCCTGTTCCTTCTTTCTAGGCAGGCAGGAGCTAATAATGAGAAAGACCTTTTCCACTCCAGACAAAGATGCTCTGCTTGCCAAGCCCTGTTTGCTTTAAAGAGTTTAACAAAGTAAATATTTACAAAAACAACTATAATCAGATGCCAAGTACCACTTCTAGGGGACTCGGAGAAGTATTTACAAGAAAGGCCTTCTCCATGTGGCACCACACTACATAGTGGCAGAAACTGACCAAAGGTCTGTACTGGCTCTACCATGAGGCCTGGCACATCGAAATCTTTCTCTTAGCCCAGAACACTTCCCACAAAGTATATGAATAATTACATTTACCATCGAAGAGTCAATTCAGAAATGTTGTACCAATCCAGGAGCACAGGAAAAAGTCATTTAAAATTACTGCTTTCAGCAGCTGGGGAAAGCTTTGTGAAGTCAACAGAGGAAATTAAAGCCAGGGCTAATTAGCATTCAGAAAACATGCCACTATTTTTAAAAGTTTTTTTTTTAGAGGTGAACTGCTCCCTGGCTGAATCCTAGTCATAACATTTGTATTACCTGTAGATCTGTTTTCTATAAAACTATGGGACCTGAGCGCTCCAACAGGATGAGAATCAAAACAGGTGCCTCCGCCTGTTCCCATTATGCACATTAGCCCATGGCCTTCTCACAGCCTGTTAAACAGCTGAATTTGAAACAATAATGGTGCAGGCCAAACACTCGCCTGAAGGCCTGTCTGTCTTGGGATTTGGCCATTTACATTGATTTTTTTCACCCACATTTTTCACGAAACACAAATATTTGCCATGGCAACTGGGGTGTCACATGACATGCTGCTACATAAATAGCCTGGAAATCTCTTAAGGGGAAACAGCCCACCAGTGCTGAAAATACAGTAAAAAACTCTTGAAGATTTGGGCATTAAAAGAAGAAGATCTGGGAAGAACAGGTAACAGTCTACTATGGAGACACAGTAGGATTAATTTCTCCTGTGCCAGTTTTCAATTTCTCTTCTTTTCTTTTCTTTTGAGAATAGCAGAAAACATGACCACATTAGGGTAAGCCAGAAAAAGACACTGCCAGCTGTCTCCTTTCTGTGGTGAAAAGTTTCAATTATCACAAGTCTGTCTGGGGCCCATCGACATAGGAAATCAAGCTACGAAAGTCTAGTATCTTCAAAGTACAGGAATATCCTTGAGGATGAATTATGTACTGTGAGGTCCTAGTGCTAAAGAATACAAAATTCCTTCCCTTCTTCATTAAGGTATTCTCTGCAAAGTTGGAGATCTTGCCTTCTTAGCCTATGCTTAAAAACAAAGGAAATACAGTAGAACCTCAAAATAACATATCCTATATAACACAAAACTTGGATATAAAGCAATAGTTACTGTATCCCGGACTCCTGGACTCCTGACCAACTAGCAGTACAGATTGACCCCATCATCTAGTTAGTCTCAATGAGGCAAGATGATTGAATTTTTTAAACCCCGCTGATAGTGTCGAGGTAGAGATGATTTGTGCAACATCGCCCCCGCCCCCCGCCCTTTTAAAATCCAATGCATCCCAGCAGGAGCTGAAATAGCACTTACTTCTATGTGAAAGGTACAACTCTGTAACATGTGTATATCACCAAAAATATGGCAGACAATATTGTAAATAAGAACAACTTTCTTTCTGTAGTTAGAAACATGAATACCTTTGATCTTTGTTTCTTGGGCGAGACCTTCACTTCTGCTGGAGTCTGCCGTGGTTTCTGAGATGCAGCAAAAGAGGCTGTGGATGGAGGTGGTGCAACGTTACCTTTTTCAGGAGAGGCTGAGTCATTGGACGGATGCTATTGAGTTTGCACCTTGAAAGTCAGATGGCTTTGTCACCCACTATTGGCTCACTATCCATCTTTCCTATATCCATTCAATGAAACATCTACGATCATTGACTTCAAAAGGAAAGCCAAAAGCATCGAAAGGCAACAGTTCCATCAGAATACAGGGTCAGCCTGCCTTATGCAAACTGCCCAGATGAAAAGGCAAATTTTAAAAGCAGGCAAATTAGAATAATATTTGCCTTATAAAATGCTTCGCTATTATACTTCTTTGAATAACCGGATTCCCAAGTTCATGTAAAGGTAATTAATATAGCTACATATGATGGATTATTCTATTGTGTAGCCATTTAAAAAGATGATTCTGAAAAATTTAAATGACTTGGGGAAGTGATACAACTGAAAAGCACTGTAAATATTATTTTTAAAATTAATTAAATCTGTAAGTAACAACTTTTGGAGAACACACCTAGTCCACAGGGGAGTGGACCTACATGCTAGACGGCACTTTCTCAGTCACGCCTCTCCTGTTGCCTGGAAGCAAACCTCACTGCCCTTTACAAACAGCCCAAGTCTGACAGTCTTGGGAGAGAAAAATTCATACATTACTCATTCCAAGAAAGAGAACAAATAATTTCATTTAAATAGTTAATCGAATAAAAGAAGTGAGGCTTCTTTCAACTCAATTCCTTCAACTCAATCCCCTTTTCTGTCACTTGTTCTATAACAACAATCTTAGAAGGAATTGATAGCTATTGATCAAAAACAGCAAGAATATCAATATATAATTTGGAATCTCACTTTCAGGACTCACTTCTTTCAGACTGTCTCAAGCGGGCTTCGAGGAATATCTCCAGTCATCTTTTAAAAAGCAGGAAGAATTGCAGAGCCTCATCACTGAAGCTCACCTTTGCAAAAGGGATTTATTTGTTGCATCTGACCAACCCAGTTTTACACTTCTTAGGTTTCCCTGGCTTCCGGCAACCCTGCCCATCTGTTGTAGTCCTCATGTTCGCCCAGCCAGTGTGTGGCAGTGTATGAAGATCCCATTTTAAGCCTGTAAGTTTTTGCCTCCACTTCTGTACTCTCCTGCCCTGGTGTCCACTTTGGACTTTGCTCTCCCATTTCTGAAGGTAAATTTACACGCTGCTCCCAGGCTGCTTTGAATCCACAGATTCACCAGTAAAACTTGTTATTCCTATTGTTTGCAGACTCAGTATGCTTTTTGTTTAACTTTCAGGTTCCTGCAGACAAGTGAGATTTATGGCTAAATTCCCATATTGAAACAAAATAGCTGCTGACAAGTTTTCAAGTGGGCATAACTTTTAAAGGATTTTAGTAAAATTCTAATACAATTTGGTAGGATAAAGATCTCAAAGATTTGTAATTTGACATGGCTAATCCACAGTTAACAGTATCTTTAGGAATTTTCTCAGTTGCCCGCAGAAATGCTATCACTAAATTATCACTTCATGTAGCCTTGGATTTTATGAGACACATGCATTTGAAGAATGTGTCTGCATCTTTAACAAAACTGTATTCTAAGGCACTGCCTATTTTGCTACTCAATTTCCCCGCTGGAAAAATCTGTATGATAAATTTTGCCAGAGTTAATGTCAGGAAAAAACCAAAAACCAAACAAACAAAAAACCCAAAACACACCTTGTATTTTTGGACAACCTTGTTTGTTTCTGTTGTAGTTATTGATACTTGCCTGCCAAGTAGCCATCCCCCTTTCTTCCTTGCTAATTTTAGAACCTAAATTTTTTTAGGGTGACAATATGCCCAGCTGCTAGGGTTGTCAGATTTAGCAAAAAAATAAGGC